ATTTTACCGTACTTGTCCGTCTGTGTCGGCAGCAGTTAGCCACCGACACGGAATCATTTCTAAGTCTCTGTTCGCGAATTTACCGTATTCGTCCGTCTGTGTCGGCAGCAGTTAGCCACCGGCATAGAATAATTCTAAGTACCTGTTCTCGAATTCTAAGTGTTCGTCCGTCGACGTTAGGCAGCAGTTAGCCGCCGCGCCGACATAGATTAAGTATCTGTTTCCGAACGAACGGCAGCAGTTAGCCACCGTTCCGCGATTTCCAAGTGTTCGTCCGTCGACGTTAGGCAGCAGTTAGCCGCCGCGCCGACATAGATTAAGTATCTGTTTCCGAACGAACGGCAGCAGTTAGCCACCGTTCCGCGATTTCCAAGTGTTCGTCCGTCGACGTTAGGCAGCAATTAGCCGCCGCGCCGAATTAGACTAAGTATCTGTTTCCGAACGAACGGCAGCAGTTAGCCACCGTTCCGCGATTTCTAAGTGTTCGTCCGTCGACGTTAGGCAGCAGTTAGCCGCCGCGCCGACATAGACTAAGTTTCTGTTTCCGAACGAACGACAGCAGTTAGCCACCGTTCCGCGATTTCTAAGTGTTCGTCCGTCGACGTTAGGCAGCAGTTAGCCGCCGCGCCGACATAGACCAAGTATCTGTTTCCGAACGAACGGCAGCAGTTAGCCACCGTTCCGCGATTTCTAAGTGTTCGTCCGTCGACGTTAGGCAGCCGTTAGCCGCCGCGCCGACATAGACTAAGTTTCTGTTTCCGAACGAACGGCAGCAGTTAGCCACCGTCTCGCGAATATAAGTGCTCGTCCGTCTACGTCGGCAGCAATTAGCCACCGACGTAGAATAGTCTCTAAGTTCCTGTGCGCGAATATAAGTGTTCGTCCGTCTGTGTCGGCAGCAGTTAGCCACCGACACAGAATATTTCTAAGCATCGGTTCGCGGAATTATCAGTGCTTGTCCGACTTTGTGTCCGTGATAAGCTGCCGGAATAAACCACCTCTCGCTTATCCGAAAGAACAGCTGGCGTAAAGCGCCCTCAACAGGACTCGTGGCCGAGGACGTCGGACTGCCAAGAGGCCGCGGAACATCCCCTCTGACCCCGCGGATAGGGGACCATCCTTGCGGCTAAGCGGGGAGTCACGGGCACCGAGGAACGGGCATCGCCGACGCCACACCGAGCCAGCGAGCCCGCCTACATACATTTATATATATATAGAACCAAATATCTTTTTAAATAAACGGGGCGCCTCGCGGGGCGCACCACACTTGCTAACACACCAAAACGCCGGATACACATTTCTTGCGAGAAGCAACCTTGCACCTCCCTCCTTCACCCGAGTAACGCACCGACGCGGCGGCGAGCGAGGCGTCGCGGAAGCGGCGAGCCGGGCGCGACGGTGGGGCGACCGATCGCACCGAACCCCGCGGGCGTTACCGTTACAGTCTCTTCCTCGCCAACTTGTCCCAAGAGAAGTAGGATCCCTCTTGAGATGCGCTATCGAAATGATCGGTGTGGTCTGCTCGAATACCCGGATAGGCAACCTCCGAGTCCGAAAAATCCCCGATCGCATTTATCACCTGCAGCGGAGTTATGTCGTGGAGACACGCCATACTCTCCACTGCAGGCAACCACCTCGTCAACAGCAGATTCCTCTGCCCCACCAACATATGTCGGTTCTCCAACTGAAGCCTCCTCACCATTTCCGGGTCCGGCAGCCAACGATCTATACTGGCGTCGACCTCTACCACACTTTCCGTTAAGGCGGTATCCATTTTGGGAGCCCGCCTTGAACTCTTCCTCCAGCCTGCTGCATGTTGACGACGCGGGGGAGTCTGGGACAATAACTCCACCAACGCGCCGTTTTCTGGTTCCGAATCCCAGAACTGTTGTCCTACTGTATTTCCACATACAGTCCATACTGCGTCATGATTACGAGACCGACAATCTCGGGTTTAATTTCGGGGTTTCCCTTCCCCTAGGTCGGCTGCCACCCAGGCTAACGAGCTCGACCTGTCCGCGCTGTGGGGGCCATTGGGCCAAGACCTTCCGGCTCCGTTATACCCCCGGGAGGCAGCTGCTCATCCCGGGGGAGGACGCTCTTGGTTGGATCCCTCGGTGTTGACCAATCCGGCAAGGTAAGACCTGCCAGGAGCCGAAGCTCCCGCCGGCATAGCTTTACACTTCATTGGGACCCGTAAGCCACTCCACCACGGCACGGATAACGGCCACTTCAGGTTCTCGGGATAGGGCATCAGCTACCTGGTTACTGGATCCGCGTCGGTAGCGGATCTCGAAGTCGTATTGTTGGAGTTCGAACTTCCAACGTCCGAGTCGGCCGGTCGGTGATTCAATTTTCTGCAGCCACTTCAGCGACTGGTGGTCGGTGAGGACGGTGAATGTGTACCCTTCGAGGTATTCGCGCATCTTGCGGATGCCCCAGACCACGGCCAGGCACTCTAGTTCGGTGGCGCTATAATTCCTTTCGGCATTGTTCAGGGTTCGACTGGCGTAGGCGACGACCTTTTCTCCCTCTTCAATCTCCTGGGTCAGTACGGCTCCCAGGCCGGACTGGCTGGCGTCGGTTTGGAGAGTGAATCGTTGCGCAAAATCTGGACAGGTCAGCACTGGTGCGGTAATGAGAGCGTCTTTTAGTCGTTGGAAGGCGTCGGCCTCCTCGTCGTGCCACCTCCATCGTTCTTTCTTTTTGGTCAGCCGCGTGAGTGGTGCTGCGAACCGGGAGAAATTCGGTACGAATCGGCGGTACCACGATGCTAGGCCTAGGAATTGTCGCACTTTCTTCACGTTGGTGGGTGTGGGCCATGCGGCAATAGCGCTGGTCTTCCCAGGGTCGGTGTGGATGCCTTCTTTGTTGATCAGATGACCGAGGTATTTTATCTGGGCGCAGCAAAACTGGCATTTGTCGATGTTGAGTCGCAGCCGGGCCCCCCGAAGGCGACGAAACACTTCGCGTAAATGAGTGAGATGCTCCTGGAAGGTGTTACTCAGCACGATGATGTCATCGAGGTACACCAACACGTTCGGTTCGAGGTCCGGGCCGAGGACAGTGTTGACCAATCGCTGGAAGGTGGCGGGGGCAGAGTGTAGTCCGAATGGCAATACCCTGAACTGCATGAGTCCGCGCCCGGGCACCGTAAAAGCTGTGATTCCCTTGCTGTTCGGAGTGAGCGGTACTTGCCAGTACCCGTTCTTTAAGTCTAATGTGGATAGGTATTTGGCCCCTCGCAGTTTATTCAGGGTAGCTGTGATTTGTGGCAACGGGTATGCATCCCTTTCGGTAACTTCGTTGACTTTCCGAAAGTCAATGCAAAATCGATAACCGCCGTCCTTCTTTCTCACGAGTACCACAGGGGAGCTCCAGGCACTGCTGGACGGTTCAATCACCCCGTCCTCCTCCATCTGTTGTACTTCCTCGTCAATGATGCGTTGCATCGCCGGATTCCGGGGTCGGTATCGCTGCTTGATCGGCGCGATCCCCCGGCGTAACCGAATTTCGTGCTGGATAGCGGAGGTAGGTCCGGAGACGGTGTTGAGTTTTTCTAGTTCCGACCGCAGAAAAATTTGTAGCTGCTCGTCGTCTGTTGTGGCGACTGGTTGTTTGAACGCCTACTCCAACTGTACGGGTATGGTCGGCGGTAGGGAGGGGCGGGGGTTGTAGAGTTAGTCCGAGGCGTGACCACAAATCCATGCCGATAATAATTGGCGTGGTCAATTTCTCCATGATCGTAAAACGGTGATGGAACTGTTGCGTTCCTACCCAAAATATTAGATGGGTGGACCCGCAGGTGGCAACCCGGGTGCCGTTGGCTAAGGTTACCCATGAGCTGGGTCCGAGGGGTTGATCCTCGGGCCTCAAACTTTCGGCGCTTACCAGGGAGGTTTCTGCTCCAGAGTCAATTAGTGCCCTAAAAGGGCGATTTTGGTAGCGCACGGTTATACTGGGGCGCGGCGTGTATGTTATGCGTGAGACCGGGGAGTGTCCGCTCCGTCCTCGGTCACGCCCGCGTTTCCCGGTGGCGGATGGCACTGTTTTGTGAGCACCCCCTCTTTTCCGCATCGCGAGCAGAACTTAATGGCGGGTTGATCGCATTCCTGTCGCTGGTGTCTGGGCTGTTTGCACCGCCAGCAACATGCCTCGCGATCGTATGCCATAGTGGCTACGGTGGGTCCGCTTAACCGTGGGGGTTTCCCCTGGACGCGTTGCTGTCGGGTCAGTTCCTCGTATTTGCGGGCTAACCGGCCGAGGTCCTTGACATTCCGTGCCTCATAGGCTCCGAGGAACATTTTATAGCCCGGGTCTAGATTATCGTATAGACGGCCCAGCGTATTATTTATTTCGTCGTCGTCGCCACTGCGTCGGATCAAGGTGAGTAGTGCATTTTCATATTCTCGATATGATTCGTGGGGCCGTTGTCGACGCTCGACGATTTGGCGTCGCATTTCCTCGCGGTATCGAGGCGGTAAATAATGCTCGCGGAAAGCAGCGCAGAAATCGTCCCAGTTGTGCCAGCCAGGACGGTGGTTCCGATACCAGAGTAGCGGTTCTCCCCGCAGCATCTCTGGAATTCCCCAAAACAGCTGTCTGGTAGTAAGCCCATAGCAGACGCGGAGCTCATCAATCCGTTCTAAAAAGTTAAGCGGGTCCTTCCCTGTAAACTTGCAATCCCACTTATGGATTTCATGGATTGCCTCGGCGTCGGTGGGGGCTTTGTTCGCAGGATCCCATCCTGGTATTTGTTCGTCCTCCGTGCTGGCGGCACTGGGTATATGGAGGGGGCTAAGCACCCGTCGGTCGGTAGGTCGGGTGAGAAATAATCCGGGGTTCTCGGTCACGAAACGGCGAAGGCGTCGTCGGAGGTCATCGATAGTGCCGCTCGTGTCCAGTCCATACTGACCGAGTCGGTGACCAATTTCCGCCTTATTGAGCTCTTGTATCCAGGCTCTTGGGGCGGTACTCATCTTGATTCTCGTTGGTTCCCTTGTCTCCACTTATCGTGCAACACACACCTTCCCTTTAGCTGCCGGATCCTGGCAGGATCGCCATGTAACGGTCGCGCCTCCAGGCTCGGTTGTTTCGGGTTGATCCGGCCCTGTGGCTTGGATCGCGGTTTGCGAGCCGACCACAGGAAAGATTTTCAGGTGAAGGTGTGTGTGTGGTGTGTGTATGTGTCAATAAGCGAAGACAAAATAAGTATAACACAATAAGTCTTTATTTGCCCGTCACGACCGCGTGCCGTGACGCGACGTCCCAATGTTTGGGTGTTAGATGATTGCGTGAATCGTTTCCGCGGACGCTACGAGCCCCGCGGGGTCACCGTGGTAGGTGAGCGATTTGCTTGGAGCTTATTTCGGTAATTATTTCAGACGGCGCTTGATCCGCAATGAGGGTCGAGCCACCGATTAGTGACCGCGCGGTGTGTGTTCCGTTGTGGTTTAAAGCGCTAGCTTGGGTGATTCGGCACACGACTTGACGACGGGTCGAAAAAACGGTGTAAGAACGCGTCGCGACACGTCGCGCTCGCTTTTGTCCTCGGCCGCAGCGTTGATCGCCCCGGGGGTCGAGGGGTGCGGGCGATGGGAGTATTCCTTGTGTGCTGGACCGACGCGTCAACTCCCAGCTGATCAGCTCTTGCCTTCCTGGTGTCCTATTTGATGAAATTACGAAAGAGATATCGTGAGATCGTTCCGGTGAACACACCGGAGCGACGCCAAACTCGCCGTCCGATCCTTTATATCGCAAAGACGGCACGAAATATCGCAAAGACGGCACGAAATATCGCAAAGACGGCACGAAATATCGCAAAGACGGCACAAAATAAGATCGTTCCGGTGAACACACCGGAGCGACGGCAAACTCGCCGTCCGATCCTTTATATCGCAAAGACGGCACGAGATATCGCAAAGACGGCACAAAATAAGATCGTTCCGGTGAACACACCGGAGCGACGGCAAACTCGCCGTCCGATCCTTTATATCGCAAAGACGGCACGAAATATCGCAAAGACGGCACAAAATAAGATCGTTCCGGTGAACACACTGGAGCGACGGCGAACTCGCCGTCCGATCCTTATATCGCGAAGACGGCACGAAAGAAGATCGTTCCGGTGAACACACCGGAGCGACGGCAAACTCGCCGTCCGATCTTTATAGCGCAAAGAACAGGTATTATTAATCACCGTCGTAGACGGCCTGGTAACTCACTTACGAATTTCGGCAGAAGCTTCTCGGTTGATCCTCTCTCGGAAAGAACTAGTCGTGGAGACGGAACTCTGGAGACTTCCCTCTCGTTAAAATCTGCCGGGGTTATATACCCGAGATTTTGGGGCTTCGGTTTTCTTCGCCCTTAATCGGAGTTAATTCCGCTTTTTAATCGGAATTAATCGTGATTATGCGGCGTTTGCCGAATAACTTCGGCGGGGCCGCTAGCTCGGTTCGGCGGCCGATCGTGCCCGAGCGTCGTTGCCGGGTAGTCGGGCATATTCGGCCGAGCGCGACGTTTCGGCGCGGTGTCAGCGCGGGTCGGGGGGTGTGCGCTCAGCTGACTGTCGCGTGCTGCTAGGCGGCAGTCAGCGTAACGGCACAAAAATCTTTGTGTCGTTACATATCAACACAACAAATGTAATAAACACATTTCTCACGTGCACGATACGTATAACCCGATAACATATAACACGAAGGTACAAATAAAAAAACTATACACTAAGAAATTAAATGACAATAGCTTAGAAAGTAAAATTCAGGTTTTATGTCTATTTGATGAATTTATTATTCTGATATACAACGGGTTTAAATGCATATTTTTAAGGAGATTATGAAGGTAGTATCTTCAAAAAATAGAATTCTAATTCAATGTATTATTTATTTTATAAAATGCAGAATTCATTCATACAAGTAAATCTGTATGTATTATTTAACAGTTCGTACATTATTCCTCATATTATTGTTAGAATGATGTTACAGGCTGATATTTAAATTGCATACGGCTTGCATTGTGTTGCTAGTACTATGGAATGGCCAATTAATTAATTTAATTTTTACCTGGAACGTGTCCAGTAGAGTAGGGTAATAAATATTCTATTGGGAGTACAAATTAGTTCGGTCCGTTTTTTGTGTTAAAAAATGTATTCATTTCAAAATAAAATGAATGAACAGATCAATTAAAGTATTTTCCATCGCTGGTTACTACTTTCTCCCATTTCTCAGGCAATTTTCGAATTCCATCTCGAAAAAATGACTCGTCTTTTGAGACGATCCAAGTTTGAAGCCAATTTTCGATTTCTGCGAAAGAAATGAACCGGAGACCTGCCAAATCGTGCTGCATCCTTCGGAACAACCGAATCAGAAGGAGCAATGTCCGAAGTATACGGTGGGTGTGGTAAAACATCCCATTTGAGCGTTTCCAAATATTTTTTTATGACTTTTGCGACATGAGGCCGAGCGTTATAAAGAAGAATAACTTTATCATGTCTTTGCTCGTATTCCGGCCGTTTTTCTCGCAATGCACGGCTCAAATGAATCAATTGTAGCTGATACCGATCGCCCGTAATGGGATCTCTAAGTTTCAGCAGCTCATAGTAAACAACACCCTTTTGGTCCCACCAGATACAGAGCATGATCTTCGAACCATGTATGTTCGGCTTTGGTGTTGATGTTGAGGTAGATGGCAACAATTGACTGGGCTTGGCGTAGTATTTATTCTTCTTGGGGTTGTCGTAGAATATCCACTTCTCATCTTCAGTTACAATCCGATGCAAAAAACCTTTTCTTTGTTGCCTTTGAATCAGCTGCTCGCAAGTGAAAAATCGCCTTTCAACGTCTCTCGGTTTCAGTTCATAAGGTACCCAATTTCCTTGTTTTTGAATAAATCCCATGTCTCTCGATCGTACGGAAACGGCTTGTTGAGTCACTCCCAATGATTCTGCAAGCTCCTCTTGCGTTTGACTCTGATCTTCTTCGAGTAATGCCTCTAATTCTTTGTCCTCGAATTTTTTTGGCTGTTCAGAGCGAGGCTTGTCTTCGACGCTGAAATCTCCATCCTTGAAACGTCGAAACCATTCCCTACATGATGACTGATAAATATCAGTTGGAGCAGCGTCACTATAAACTTCAACAAGCATTCGATGGGCTTCAGCTGCACTTTTCTTCCAATTAAAGCAGAAAATTAAAATCTCTCGCAAATGCTGCTTGGTTAACACAAAATTTGACATTTTGTATAAAAAGCAAGGTTTTTGTATGAAACTCAAAGCGATATAAATTAAATATTATTGGCAGATATCTAACCTCTCTGAAACCGCCAAAATCGGCAGTCACTATGAACCATTCATAACAGCCGGAGCCATCTTTTGAAAACGGATCGAACTAATTTGTACACCCAATACATTGGGTGCATTCAGTACTACAATCGCTCACTGAGCAACTATTCGTGAGTGCTCAATGAGCGGTTTTCATATACTAGATCGTATGCTCACAATCTATATTACGTGTGTGGGGGTCACCTGTCTTATGCACGGACGACCGCCCTGTGGTGCGATTCTGTAACTCGTTATTGGAGTTAACGACAGTTTCGTTATTGTTGCGCAGCTTTTCTACGGTATACAAAAGCTGCGCAACGATAACGAAAGTGTCGTTAACTCCAATAACGAGTTACAGAATCGCGGTACTGGTGCGTGTTCAGGAGTGGATCGTGAGGGTCCTTCATCCCCGTGCGAAAGACAATTATTGTGCAAGGGGTTCGCAATACCGTCTTTATTGAAATTCCCCGCAAGGGGAATGCACGCTTTTACACTACTAACGGCCTACTATCTATGCTAACCGCCGGTCGCGTACGGCGCGACCGGGCTGACCAAGAGCAAGAGGCGCGTGAAATGCAAGCGCACTAACGAGATTCCGCCCGCGGCGGAGAACACAACTTTCCCGCCGGCACCACGCGCTTTTCGGTTATACCGCACGGACCGAAGGGTCACCTGCGCACATGCAAGGTGCACACACAAGAGACGAGCACGTGCACGGCTCGTGATCTGACGCCCGTCAAAACAACAACGATTCGCGATCACGCGACGGCGTACGCGGCCTCGACGGCTCGGCACGCGGCGCGCGCGTGATCGGCTCAACCGGAACCTCGAACGGGTAAAGCAGGGGTTATAAACTCCTATTGGTATCACGGTCCTAGTGTTTGCAGCGCCCTCACTGAGTGACAGGCTCACGAACAAGAACTAAGATGCATGGTGTGAGTGTCGGCCATATTGAAAAAGTACGTATAGAAATGCAAATGAGAGTGAGGAAGTGACTCAAAATAGCGGTAACAAAAGATATAGTGTAATTTTTCTTCAATTAAAATATAAAAAAATAATATAGAAATGCTAAGAGCATGTTGTGTGCTCAACTGTACATCGACAGGTACAATGCCATCACACACTTTCCCAAAAAGCGTAGAAATGCGTGAGAAGTGGATGACAAATTTAACCTTGAAGCCATACAAAAAAACAGAAATCAGTAAATTACGAGTATGTTATAAACATTTCAAAGAAACTGATTATACCGGAAGCCAACTTCGCAGATTAATTCGGGCTGCTGTTCCTCATATGGCAACAGAAATAAGTGAAAAACAAACAAGTAGTGGATATCAAGAACGTGATATGAGACATGAAGAACGTAACATTCAACAAGAAAATATTATAGCCTTACAAGAGAATAATAAAGAATTACAAATAGATATAGATAAGATATCAAAAAAATAAGAAATTGCTACACCATTACAAGAGGATGTGAATATATTGTCACAACAACAACAGGCACAACAAGAAAATATAACACTACTGCAGAAAGACGTAGAAACATTATATCATATGCAAGCACAAATACAAACACAACATCATGATCAATTACAAGAAATAATGAAGGAAGTAGGATCGCTGAAAACACAATTGCATTTAAAATCGCAAACAAGAAGACCAAATCTTGCAGAAGTAACACGGAAAAAAAGTTTGTCTCCAACGGCAAGAAAATTTTATGATAATAATATAAAACTCCAAGCACAGAAGAGACGTACGAAATTAATGATTAAAAGAATAAAGCAACAAAATGCAAATAAAAACGTTACATTAGAAAAAAGAATAGATAAAAGCCAAGAAGATAAGACAACAAAAATCCGACAAAACTTTATAAATATGATGTTGAGAAATAATAATGTTCCACCACAGGTAATATAATCCCTTCCTCATCTTTCACCTTTTAAATTTTCCCCAGCATATACAAATATTCGATAAGATATAATGCCTTTAATAATATTTTTAACTTCAATTGTATATCATTGCATTTTATTATATAATTTGCATCCGTAATATGATTTATTTTTGTACACTAATATAATTATATATATTTATATATATAATTCATATATCACATTAATATTTCAATATAGTATTCTTATATAAACATGTCATAGTTTATATATATATAATTTTATATATATATAAAATTATATATATATATAAAATAAAAAGAAAAAGCTATATAAACATAGGTCCGGAAATAAATCGTTTCCGAATTATAGCCACTTTTATGTTAAAATATCGTAATTTATTTTTCATGATTATTTATCATAATTTGAAACTATTCATTTTTTTTATATTTTCTTGTTTGATCATATGATGCTTCATGATATTTATATTTGTATACATATATTGTACATAGATGCCTTTTAGTATTTATATTTGTATATACTCTGAATAGCGCACAGTACGATAACATTAGACCGTTGAACATGTTATTCCACCTTTAGATACGGATGTTACATTCTTCATTTGATTTCAATATTGTAAGTAAGATTTCTAATTATTCATTTCTTCGATACACTTTTTAACTCTCGTTTTCTCTATTCCTTATTTAAGGAACTATAAAAAATAAATTATGATATTTTAACATAAAAGTGGCTATAACTCGGAAACGATTTATTTCCGGACCTATGTTTATATAGCTTTTTCTTTTTCTTTTTTGGTATCAAATTACCTCCCGAAATACTGCGGGCGAATTACCGGACACTCTGTATATAAAATGCATTGTATATAAGTATAGCAGTTGAGCAATGGAATAAATAATTTATAATATTAGTATAGAATTAATCATGCAATAGTACAGTACATATATATGCTGCTTGTATTATTTCTATAATATTATATATAAACATTTTTATGTAATTTTTATGTTTTGTATACATCCACATATATTCGCATACATACACATACGCAAACACGCACACACATATTGCTTAAAATAAATCTATTGTATTTAATATTTTATAAAATATTTTATTTTATTTTCGACACAGGCAAGACGATATACTGTAGAAGATAAAATGTTTTGTTTGGGCATTTATCGTAGATCCCGTTCCTCCTATAATTTTGTGTCCAAATATTTACTGTTCTTCATATACTACTCTAAATACGCAACTAAATCGCATTTCAATCGATACTGGATATAATAAGATTATTGGAAAATATCTCAAATCAAGTGCAAAGAAAATGGATTTAAAAGATTTATATATTATACTTGCTTGGGATGAAATGGCTATTCAATCAGCACTTACATATGATGTTAAAAGTGACAAAATTATTGGATTTGAAGATTGGGGAATGAGGCGAACAAGAAGATTTGCAGACCATGTTATTGTATTCTATATCAGGTCTTTAGCATCTGGTCATAAAATGCCTGTTGGATATGGTTTTTGTAATAGTGCAACAACGTATATCCAACTTTCGAGATGTGTGAAGGAATGGCTGAAACATCTGTAACAATGTGGTTTTAAGCCGATAGCAACTGTTTGCGACCAAGGAGGGCCAAATATAGCGACAATAAATACATTACTTGAAGAAAGTCGCGCACAATATTTAAGACATAATAGTATGTTTTTTTATTTACATATTATATTTATACCGTTTATTTATTATAATATAATATTGACACAACTATTTTCTTTTTTCAAAAATACTGCAGCTAGATAATATATTTTATGTGGGAGACAATCCTATTGTGCCTTTATATGATTTCGTACATCTTCAAAAAGGTATTCGTAATAACCTTTTAGACAAAGATTTACTTCTTGATAAAGATGCCAAATTTTCAGAACATGAAAGTCAATGTGCTTCTTGGGATGATATCATAGCAGCATATGCAATCGACCAAAAATGCTTTCCACATCGGCGAAAGATGAAAAAATTAACAGATAGTCATATTTTTCCACATTTAATTCCAAAAATGAAAGTAAAGTTTGCGGTACAAGTCATAAGCCATACTGTAGCAAACTTTATGCATATGATACTTACTTTCAATAAAGAAGGTAAAATAATAATTTAATTTATAAAGCAATTAATTTTATTTACTTTAATATAAAAAAAACAATGTGTTATTTATATAGTTTTGTTTTATTATAGGTGTCGTGCAAACAGAATATGGTACCATGCATTTGTTCAAAAATGCCTCCACCACAGCAGAAGCACTATTCTTGTTTGACGACCTATTCGATTCGTTCAATGGAAGTTGTGAGCAAGGATTCAGCAGTATTATCATACCAAATAGCGGCCATTTAAAATTTTGGTCAGAAACATTGCGCAAACTGAAAAAAATGGAATTTGTTGAAAAGAATAGCTACAAACCTTTAAGAAGAAATAAGCCAAAGTGTTTAGTTAACTGGAAACAAACAATTCAAGGTGCACAATGTTTATGGCAAATGCTTCAGAAATGCGGATTTACCAAACTCAATTTAAAATATTTAAATCAAGATCCTGTCGAAAATTTATTTAGTCAAATAAGAAATCATGGACATCAAAATACAAATCCAACACCATATTTATTTGGTATATCATTTAAAGCAATATTAACGTGCTATTTAACGTCGAAGCACTCCATATCAGCAAATTGTGAAAAAGATAAGGAAAGTTTTTTACCGTTAATGGCTTTAATGTGTGCAAAAGAAATTGAAAATCCAGAAGAAGGTGAAAGAAATATAGAATGCGATGAAGCTGCTATTACATTAGATGAAGGAAAATCTGATAACTCACATACTTCGTACATAGACGCAAAAAAGATTATTAATATAATCAGGAAGAAGTGTAAAATTGTATGTGTTGAATGTACTGCAATAATGGAAAACGAAAACACTATACAAATGATGAATCGTGCTATAGAAATAGCTGAACAGATTTGCAGATTTCTGCTATAAGACAAAAATTAAAAATAAACTTTTAACTATATTCAGTCAGATATTTTCCACAGCACGTTTTCACTGTACTGATGTGAACATTTTGCTTAACACTCTTGCACAATATTTTCTAATAGAATGGTGCAACATAATAAATAAAATTATGCGAGGACAAATAAAAGATGACCACAATAAAAGTTACATATATTATGAGGCACGTAGGATGTCATTGAAATATTGCAAGAAAAGTAAGAAAAATATAATTAACAAATAATATTTCCAAACTATTATTATAGCATGTATTAAAATATAATTAAAATATATGTTTTTGTTGCAGGGTCATGAAAAAAATAATTATTACAATTATTTTATTAATAATTTATTATAACTTTCATAATAAAATGATTATTGCATTTAAACAAAACAATATGTAACATTTTCTTTTTTTCTCGTACAGTTCAACATTGCAAATAAATATATTAATGTTTTATAAATACAACGTGTACCATATATGTGCGCGTACACACATTGAAAGGATTTTTCTATCTCACTCACTCGCACAATAAGTTTTAGGTTCTCTCTCACTCACACTCACTCACACTATGCATCTTAGTTCTTGTTCATGAGCCTGTCACTCAGTGAGGGCGCTGCAAACACTAGGACTGTGATACCAATAGGAGTTTATAAGGGGCATAAGGAGTTTGCCTGGGGCAAAGGGCCCGGAGGGGTACACGCGTGGAAACGCACGCGACGAGATGAATGTACAGGAACGCACGCAGAGGGGTGCACGCGTGGACATGCCGCAGATAGGCGCACGCGCGGAAACGCACGCAAGGCGGTGCACACGCGGAAACACACGCAGAGGTGTACACGCGGGAACGCACGCAGATAGGTGCACACGCGGAAACGCACGCAGAGGTGCATACGCGGAAGCGCACGCACGTACCCGAAACTGCACCCGAAAGGCAACGAGATCACTACGGGGCTCGTGAGAAAAGTCGCACTAAAAGGAAGCTACTAGGCCCGCACAGAAGTCACGACTCACACGTGCGAACTTGACACGCGATCGCACAACACACTGAATTCAAAACAGTGCCCTCGGCTGCAGAATCTGCTTACGGCGGCTCGCCTGCTGGTTCTCCGTCGGCGCTGGAGATGGCGGGAGCGGCCCGACCGCCCATGGAGGTAAGAATATATGGAGGGAACGTAATAACAAACCTTGCTTCCTAAGACGTAAGAGGGATTCAATCGCAGTCATCTTGCATAGGAACACATTTTCATTGGTTGATATTGTTATTACGCTCCCTCCATATATTCTTACCTGCACGATTCAAACAGTCTCCTATATAAAAAAAAATATAAAATAATTGACATTTATTAAATTGTACACATTGTTGACAATATTAAATTATAATATTAAAACAATGCCTCAGTGTACAATAAAGCAGTGTAAAAATAAAATACCGCGTTCTCGATTTCAATCGACTGCAAAAAGTGAGGTTACTTATCATTTGTAAGTAATTAATATTATTAAAATATAACATATATATAAGTTCGTACCCTAATAGCACACAATCTCCCAGAAATGTCTTGAGGATATTTTTAGAATGTTGGATGTACTCAGAACGTTGGATGTACTAAGAATGTTGGATGTACATACTCAGAACGTCCTTAGGACATTCTTAGGATATTTGTGCTATTAGGGTATGTATAAATATATGTAAAAATGTATATAATTAGATTATACAATATAATGAAACAAAATTACACTTTTGAACTCCCTATATGTGTACACATTCTTACATAAAATATTTAATAATTTACATGCAATATACTTGTCGGTGACAATTTCATTTTCACAGATTTCCCAAGATAAAAGAAAAGCGTAACGCATGGCTGAATGCACTCATATTAAAAGATGAGGAGGTTCCGAAATATGCAACAGTATGTTCCAAACATTGTTTTAGAAAATCACCTTGATAAATCAGTTTCTTATTATACTATATTAGAAAATGATGCAGTTCCATGTGTTAGTATAATATTCATTATATTTAATAATAAAACTTATTAATAGTTTATATAACCAGTAATATATCATGTTTCTCTGTAGTTGTTTTTAGGTTCACAGAGTGAGTGTACAAACATAAATAATGAATTGTGTCAGCAGCTAACAGCAAGTACAATATATAATTATTTCACTTTATTATTTTTAATTCTGATTATAATATTAATATATAAGTATAATATATGTGGGACATTCTTTTCCAATGTTACACCCATGCTGTCTATTTTTTATTTGATTTCATATATTATATTAATTTTCCAATAAAATAAAAATTAGGTGAGGAAACAGAAGTTCCTACTGTGGATGCGAAAATATCTTCCAGGAAAAGAGTTGCAGAGGAATCACTCACAGGTATGATTACAATCTAAATCTTCTGGGGACATCTTTTGGACATCTGTACTGTTAGAGAATATAAAGGAATAAGTATTTGCACTAAGATATTCTAAATATGCATAATTGCATATATATATATATATATGATTAGAATCTGAATTAGTGGTTTTATCTAACTTATTATAGTATGCTTGTGATTTTTTAATTTTGTGTATTGAATTTTTTACACATTATAAAAAAAACCATGTTTTTCTATATATAGAAAAAATATATTAATAGTATTGTTTATATATAATTATATTAACTTGAATTTATATTATTACAGTTATTGAACCTATAAAAAAGAAAGTTTCTATGGTATCTCGATCGACATCTGTATCTCCGGAGTGGATATTTAATTCACCAACGAAAAGACATTCGTGCAATATGGAAGAACAAAGTTAAACGTTATGAGCAACAGTTAAAAATTTCAAATTTAATGGTAAAACGATCGAGGAAAAGAATTGTTAAATTAAGTAACATAATTGACACATTGCGAAAAAAAAATTTGTTGACTGATGAACAATTGGAGATCCTGGCAGATATTGGTGAGTGCAATCAAGAATTACTGAAACGACAAATGAAAACCCTTAAGAAGCAGCCTATATCCCGACAATATTCTCCTGAATTGCGAACATTTGCTTTATCGTTCCATTTTTATTCACCACTATAATTTTGTTTGACAACAATTTATTAGGAGCGCAAAAAAGTTCTGAGCCCTAGATTTCATACTACTGAAACCACAATTTAAATTGCATTAATTTTCCCGCCCTTTTGCGGTTTTAAAGCAGTGACATTTGGTCTTTCGAAACATCGTGCGATTTGGCGTTTGATGCACATAACCTTAAAATCAGCAGTGTTCACGATGGCAATAACAAAAGAGCATATTCGATTTTCCATCCACTTCGCGTTTCATCTGAAGAAAAATGCTGCTGAGGCCACTGAAATGATCTGTGTTGCATATGGAGAGAACGCTGTAAGTTATGCTACGTGTAAAAGGTGGTATCAAAAATTTCGCCAAGGAGATTTCAATCTTGAAGATGAACCACGTGCTGGACGCCCTCAAAAGATTGAAACGGACAAACTGCAAGCATTGTTGGATATAAACTCTGCACAAACTGAAAAGGAGCTTGCAGAGCAACTTGGCGTTACGCAACAAGCCATTTCCACACGTTTACATGCAATGGGAAAAGTTCAAAAGGAAGGCAGATGGGTTCCACATGCACTGTCCGAAGACAACAAAAATCGACGGCGTGACACGGCACTCACTTTGCTTTCAAGGTTCCGGAAAAATGATTTTCTGCACCAAATCATTACAGGTGATGAAAAGTGGATACTTTATGATAATCCGAAGCGTAAAAAATCATGGGTTGACCCTGGTCAACCTTCGACATCGACGCCAAAGACCAATATCCACGCCAAGAAGGTTTTGCTTTGCATATGGTGGGATTGGAAAGGTGTATTGTATTACGAGCTGTTACAGCCGGGTGAAACAGTAACGGCAGATCGCTATCAGCAATAATTGAGCAATTTGAGCGATGCGTTTGAAGAAAAGAGGCCATTTACTGGCAAAGGACGTCGTAAAGTGATACTGCTTCATGACAATGCCCGACCACATGTTGCGAAAGTGACTCAGGACCATATCTTTGCGTTAGGCTGGGAACTTCTCCCGCACGCGGCGTATAGCCCAGACATGGCGCTTTCCGATTACTACCTATTCCGGTCTCTGCAGCATTTCTTGGCTGATACACATTTTGTGACACTTGAAGAGATACGAAAATGTATTGATGACTTTATCGCCTCGAAGCCGGTGAGCTTCTATCATCAGGGAATTCGCAAGCTGCCCGAAAGATGGCAAAAGGTCATCGATGCAAACGGGGAATATTTCGTTGATTAATATAGTTTTGTTTGTTTTTAAATAAATTTTGAATTTTGCAAAAAAGGGCTCAGAACTTTTTTGCGCTCCTAATAATTCCTGTTTACCACATCCAAAAATACTATCTAATTGGTATTGTTCGGTATCCGCAGAACCAGGATTTATTAACGAAGCTTTCCAATGTATAAAGAATCGTACTGCATCTTGCGAATATCAATTACTTGGTGCTATAATATTTGATGAAATGGCTATTAAGCAACATATTGCATTTGATGGAAAAAAATTTGTTGGATATGTCGATTTTGGTAACAATAACTATACTGATAGATCATCAGTAGCAAAAGAAGCTTTAATATTTATGGTAGTGTGTTATAAGCAATGTTGGAAAATACCTGTTGGTTATTTTTTTATAAATAACACTACATCAGAGCAAAAACAATTTAATTTTGCAATGTTTATCCTTATTACATGATACAAATATGCAAATTATATCAATTACTTGTGATGGTCTTTCATCAAACTTTACTGCAGCTATACAATTAACATATAATAATCCTGTTGAAACTCCTAATACGAAAGAAGAAAGGAAAACCTATGTGCCATTTTTCTCGACGTTTGATTCGAATGCAGAAATGAGTTTCCTTCATTCAAATTCTAAAACAAAGATATCTATTTTTTTCGATCCTTGTCACTTGTTAAAGCTGGTGAGAAACACATTGGAAGATTATAAAGTGTTACTGGATGAGCATAACTGTGAAATTCAATGGAACTACTTTGAAAAGTTACATGAATATCAAGAAGCAGAAGGAATGCATCTTGGGAACAAATTGCGAGGAGCATATATTAACTATATCCGGCAGAAAATGAAAGTGCGTTTGGCCACGCAACTATTTAGCAGATCTGTTGCTGATTCTTTAAAGCTATGTAAATATGAATTACATTTAAGCGAATTCGAAGATTGCGATGCTACGATTAAGTTTATTAATAACTTTAATAATTTATTTGATATTTTTAATTCTCATAGTATTAAAGGT